ACAGACAACCCCGTGACAATATACGTTTTGTACTGCTGTTACACAGCACAAAACGCATAAAAAGGATCCGTCGAACAGTCTATATTCGCTTCCTTAACAATTTCCAAACAAATAGCACCTGTCGATCTCTTAATCTATAAGAATTCGAAGCACGGCACCGAGTTCCACGCTATCAAGTGTTAATTTTCGTATGCAACGGAAAGTAGGTACAGTGAGGAGTGGTGGTATTCTCTTGTGCACATCAGATTTACGGGAATAGTGATATTCGTTGTGCTGTGATAATTGTCAATAATCCTAGCTTACTTCCTTGGCTGCTGCTGCTGCTCTTCAGTGAGATGATGTTTTACTGTTAGTAATAATCCTCGTGAACAGCTTGCGAATATGAGAGAGAGAGAGAGCAAGTAGATTTTTTTTTTTGGATCGATAGGCGCTATTTGGAAATTGTTAAGGAAGCGAATATAGACTGTTCGGCAGATCCTCTTTTATATATCGGAGGGGCTCAAGTCAAAGATGCTCTTTTGTAAAGTTTCTGGGGGTACTGGTCCTATTAAAATTTTTATCTGTTTTGCCTTGTCCTTTAAATCAAAATTTCGACTCCATGTAATTGCCGGCATCTCTTCCTCTCGGCTAAATCTTACTGGAAGTTGAGAAGTGTGCCGATTCGTAATAACTTATACTCAATCCGGAAATAATTTGGTAAGAACTGCGGACTAACATAAGCCGAACAACACGGGTCCAACACATTTCCGTCTTTCGTTCATGTTGATAAATTCGCCTTGCCACCCCATCGCTTTACGGAATTTTCGAGGCAATCACCGACTTGACGTTACGCAGCGTCCGAGCGACTTCCTGTAGAAGATGGTTTCGTGAATTCAGCCCTGAACAGCGATCTAAACCTTCGGATGCATACAACGAAGTCCACCGATTTTTTCTTTTTTTTTTTACAAAAAACGAAGGCGACTAAACCAGGAATTGCCAGCAAACAGCTGAACACGTCCAACTGAATCCCGTAAGGAACTAGTAATCCGAAGAAACATGAACAAATGCTCTACACGGAATAAATCATCGAGTACCGAATGAGGTTTAGCCGGTTGCGGGGAAAACAGCCCATGCATGGACTAAAATCCAGCTCGGCCCAGCCGCTGAAGAAGTACTCGCTGTTTGCCGGGGGGCGGGGGGAGAGGGGATTTCTACTATTTATGTGCATTTGGAGAAGATTCGGGAGGACTTTGTACACGGCAATAGTTCAGAGTTTTTGTTTTGGGTTGATTTTTAGAAAAAGAAAATAGGTAGACGCGAATGCCGTACAACTGGAGGAACGTTGTCTACTTCCGGAATGCAAAATCTCTCTCACTGGAATGCGGGACAGACTGGCATGCTTGCGTATGAAGATATCAGTGCTTGAAGGAATTGAAAACAGAAAAAACCCCGGGGGGCACCGGCTTCCCTGCACTTGAAAATGAGTAAAAAGCAGGTTTTGGTTTTAAAACCAGCTATTCTTTCGCTTTTGCTTGACCATCGTTCATATTTCACTTATTGCAGCCGGACTTTATTGTCGGCAAAATCGTTACCTTTTCCGTCAGTAAATTAAATGTCAGTTCCTTCGATTGCTAGTTTTTGCGAGAAATTCGATTTAAGATTAAGTGAAAATTTTGTTAGAAAAT